CTAACCTGAGGTACTATTTCTGGTTAGCGGAGTCTGTAACCTGAAGCATCTGTAACCCGAGGTACCACTGCACAAACACTTAGGGTGAGATTTAGCATTACTCTTTCTCAGTGTAGAACCATTGAAGTTAGTGGATGCGATAAACTTAGGTTCACTAATTTCAGCGGGTCTACTCTGAGGAGGACTCAGCTTACTACAACCCCTTGGGAGATTCCATGGCTTGTGAATCCAGGCAAAGGACTTATATTGAGCATATGTTTTGCAGTTCACTTTCCTCCAGACAAGCCAACTGCTTGCTGGAAAGGCCATAGCTATTATCCTTTGCTCCTAGAGATGTTCCCTAGCAGCATGAGGGAACTGAGCAAGTGTCACTCTCTGGCTGCTCTGATTCTGCTTTGATTCCCCTCACCCATTCAGCAAGTCTTGCCAGACATCCCCCTACCCTGGTTTCCATTTGTACTTACTTGACCACATGCCAAGAGTGGAAATAGGATACAGGTATGAAAAGCCTTAATCTTATTTGCTTGACTGAGACACGAAGAGGCAAATGGTGACTTTTTCTTTCTTTCTTCTAATACAATAATGTTCTGGCATTCCAGTCTATCAGTCTAGGCTTCTCCCTAAATTCAAATAAATCCCTTATATAATTGATTGGTCAACCTTTGTTTATTTTTTTAGCTTGAAGCTGCCGCTGAACATACTGAAATGCTTTGGGCAGTATTTTTCATTACTATTGTACCATTGGAAAATAGCCTTGACCCATGAATAATGCTACAAACTAACAATATGCTATGGTGCGGTGTGTCATTTTGGCTGGAATGTATTTTCTTATTCTGGAATATTGCCACTGAAGTCAATTATACTGATCCAGAAACACTCTGGATTAGTTGTTGTGTGGCATGCTGTGAAGCCAAGCAACTGCATTTATCTGTCTAGTTGGTTGTGGTGCTCTGTCAGAGTGATGGGCGATGTAGGGTTTGTTTGTTTTTACAAAAATATTTCTAATTGCAAAGAGAATAAACTTGGGGAAATGGTGGTGTGGTGTTTTTAATTTGTCTTTCATTTGTATCGTACTGGTGTGCAATTATAATTAATCTTTGCTCTTCTGGTACCATTTTAACGCTACTTCCTCTGTTGCATAATATTCATTTTGCTCAAACAGCCTGCTAATTACGCTAGCACCATCTTCTTCATCAGCATATCATTTTTACTCATTGCACTTTGTAGAAAATACATTATCAAGCTTTGTTTTTGTTTTATGTTTTTAGATTAGCCATCTGGAGGTTTTAATAACCAAGCATACATTCCACAGAAAGACAAGTGCCCATATTCAAGGTTACATTCACAATCACCTTGCATTCAACATTTGCACTATTGGTGATATCCAGCTAAGTCACAGAGTATAGGATCATAAGAGTTGAAAGGGACCCTGAGGAATCAACAGACTTCAGTTCCTTAGGCTAATTGATTTCTATGGTTGTACACAGAGCAGAGTAAGAGTAAGAGCTTAGAATATGATTAAGAATTTGAGAGCTAGTGTGGTGTAGCGGTTAGAGTGTTGTACCAGGACCTGAGACCAGCGTTCGAATCCCCACTCAGCCATGAAATTCACTGGGTGACCAGTCACTGCCTCTCAGCTCAACCTGCCTCACAAGGTTGTTGCCAGGATTAAATAAATAAATGTTGGGTATCATCCAATGAAGACGCTTCTGAAGAAAAAGGAAAGATTAAAAATAGTTCTTATATTTATTAACATCACTTGTATGTCGTCCAATCACATAGCATTTTCTGGATGGCTTAGTGTAAATAACTGAAGAACTATATAAATGCAAAATATGACATCAAATTAAAAAAAAAGATATAAATACAAGAAAAAGAAAACTCACTTCATTGATTGATAAATTCCTCAGTTATTTACAAGGGTTTGAAAGGTCCTCACATGCTACTGAGAAGACCACAAAGATGGTGCCAGGTGAGCCTTCATGGAAAGACTGCTGTATAACTAGGTTGCTACTAGTGGGGGCTGATGCCCCTTTGGAGCTGGTGGGGAAGAAGGCAGTTAGACTGCCAAAGCCAATGAGGGGCACAACCCACATCCTGGGTTTGTTCCACCTTCCTGATGACTTCTTCAAGGTCAATACTGAGACTAAGAAGGAGGAAGCTGACAAAAAGCATCATCCCTTTGACTGGTTCTAAGTAAGAATCAAAGAAGGTGGGAGCGAGATGAGGGATGTCCCATTTGCCCTAAGGGTCCAGCCTCAATAGAATAGCACTGTCTCAAAGGCCCTCTCCTCAAAGACCCACCTCCTTTCATTTGTTCTCAAGCTATTTAGGATTCTGAAGATGAAAAACAGCACTTTAAATTGAACTCAGAAATGGACCAGAGCAGATATTGAGAATGGCAGCACATCAGGAATAAGTCCTTTTTGAAGAATTAGCAAGGATGCACAATTTTTCTTAGAGACAAGTCAGAAAATTCCATTTTGCCATCTATTCTCTTTCTCTTTATTGCTTTTTCTCTCTCCCCCAACACCCAGCCGCCTTTTCTCTCTTCTCTCTCTCCAGGGCTCAGCTATAAACTGAGACCTCTTGAGAAATCTTTCCCATACAAGGACATCACATCAATCCACAGCATAAAAATAATCAGTTTGTTCAGTCATGCAATCCCATACTACAGAAATGTCTTGGACATGGCACAGAGTCTGCATGAATAATAAATAAAAGAATTTTTTAGCCAGCATAACCTACTTTCTGCAGTTCAACAGCTCGGTTCTTAGAAGAAGAATTTTGAGAGTATTTTCTATGACTGAGCAAATGTTTTACCATGATCAAAGATGTTTTAATTCCAAATGAGTGGATATTTGCTGGTTTTTAAAAGTTAATTGTCCATGACATTGTGATTTACTGTAGGGTTGCATATTCGTGGCATATCAACACTGCACGCTGGTAGATGTTCTGTATTTAAAAATATATCTGTTTTCTTTTATTAATAATGTAAACAAGCACATATGAATAGAGGTGACCCACATAATTCACCCACTGCAATCTACAACCACCCACCAACCCATACAAAATTTTGTAGGCTGTTTGAACAAGCAGTCAGATCTAGTAATCGAGAAATAGAAGATGAAAAATGGCATACAGGGGGTCAGGGGGGAGAGAGAGAGAGAGAGAAGTGTAGCAACAAAAAAATATCTAGGTTAAAAAAGAGTTACTCCTTATAAAAATAGAGAATACCAATTTAAGTGTGAAAGAGTCAAGCTTATTATTATGTGATCTTTTTCTTCGCATAAAGGTAAATTGCTAATACAGAGAACCACCAATGAGATTTTTTTATATTGTAAACTGCCCTGTGATCCTCAGATGAAGGACAGCATGGAAATTTAATAAATAAGCAAACAAATGTGGAATTTCCAGAACTGGAAAATGTCCCTTTTGCTCACCAAAACAGTGCTATAAATCCAAAGAGCATGGGAGTGTATTTTATGAGCAGACTCTGAACATGGAAGACTCAGCTCAGCTCGAGTTGATGGGAATCCCAAATGGGGTGAGCCCTGCTGTACTCAGGTCTTGCTTGTGAGCTTGTGCATGAAATGCTAAGCAAAACTGAGGCTTGGAGAGGAAGGGGAAAGGAAAATACACTGTCAGATATGGACCAAGAGGAAAATTAATAGTCAATAGTTTACTAACAACAGTTAAAGTATGTATAGCTTTGCATACCAAAATGAAAAGCTTGGACTGGAAATGATTTTTCCTTAAATGCGGTGGACATATGTGTGTGTTTTGTAAGCAAATTCAAAACAGGTTGGACATACATTTTTCTTGCAACGCTACCCAGCAAAACTAAATTCCCAAGCCATTTGTTGAATATGGATATTGGTACGTATGATCCAGGAATGCTTTTTAATTAATGGTCACTTTGAAGGAGATTTTTGCTAATTAGGAACATGAGTAGTATCAGGTTTGTATATGAGACAGAAACCACTATAGTAAGAGTCTCATTTTCCCATTGCGTTGCACATGATTGTATAGTTCAAGAATGATTTAGAATGGCTCGTGTGCAAACAACTAACAAGTCTATGCATGTCAGTTCAGAAGTTAAGTTCCACTGAAGTCAATGAGATTTACTTGCAGGGAAAGGTGTAGGGAATCACAGCCTAAAATAACCCTCTATTTTTTAAAAGGATCCTGTATCGTGGTGCAATATTACAGAAGTCTTACTGCGTGCTTACCTTTTTTGCCGATATAAGTAAATTTATTTTAATTTATTTGCACTTGGCAGCATTTCATTTTGACAGACAGCTAGCTGAGAAGCTTGAAATATTTTGACACAAGACCTTTAAACCCTTCCTCTCTCTCCCCTTTGCAATTGTTTTTAAAGTAAGTTTGCCTTTTAATTCAATGAGTTGACAGGATGTATAACTTATCTGTCAAAGAAGTATACATTCAGCGTCACATAAGAGACTTCTAAATGCTGGAAAAGGTTCTGAGGATTGTTCAATTTTCAAATACTTTGCAGAGACAGAAGGGATTTAAACTTTGTTTTCTGTCTGGCAGATAGGGGAATGGAAAATTTGGGAACAAGGCAGAGTCCAAAACAGTGTCAGGCTTCTAGGCTATAGCCCTTTACATCACTTTACAAGACAAAAATATATTATGGAACCCTGACATGTAGTTTCTTCACATACACACACACACACCCACCCACACACACATCCTGTTTGAAGTATTTTGCCTGAAAGCTGTTCAAACGCCTCCATAGCTTTTTCACTTAATTGGTTGGAATTATGTGTTTAGCCCATGATAAAATCTAAATGGCTTCAAAGCACTGACTGCAGAAGTTTAATCCAAGGGTAAGATTATGGGGAATGTTCTTGTTTAATAGACCTATGATTCCTTCTGCAGCCAGTGCAGTTGCCAGGAAGGGCAGCGAGGATACTGGCACCTTTTGATATTGAGTGCATGCACGCACTTGCGTACACTGATATAGGGTAGAGAATGTCCACTGGGATAGCCAAACTGGTAGAGCATGAGACTCTTAATCTCAGGGCCAAAGGTTTGAGCCCCATGTTGGGCAAAAGTTTCCTGCATTGCAGGGGATTGCTGCCTTCCAGCTTTATGATTCTATATGTCAGGAGCCAGCCAGCAGTAAATCACACTGTTCAATTGGGAGTTAACTCTTTATTAGCAAGAACACGATCTGCACAGACTTGGTGGAGTGTCGCAGCAGTTCATCCCTAGTAAGTCTTGTCCCATGGATCAGTTGCTGAGACCAAAATCCCTGCCTCCCCACAGCCATCAAAGCCCCCTCCTCCCCAGGGCTTTCCCCAAGCAAGAGGAGACTATGCCTGCATGAAACCAACCTCTCCTCCACCCTTTTCATGCCTCTTCTGGTTCTGGGAGACGAGGAGGAAGCTGAACTTGTCGCAGAAGGATGGGGCAACACCCGTGACTCTTCACCACTCTGACTCATCTCTGTCTCTTTGCCTCTCTCACCCCATTCTCCTGCTTCAGCTTCTGCCTCTGAGTATGGGCTTCTCTCCACCACACTCTCATAGCTCACTAACCATACCCTCTGACGTTTCTGTGGTGAAAATAGGGACGTTCAGCCCATATTGTGCTTCTTACCCCTCCCTGGATCCAGTAGATATTTTGAGAGAAAGCACACATTTTAATTCATTTCAAATATGCATTTTTCCGATGAGGTGTTTTCTTGAAAAATCCTACATTTGAATTTAGACGCAGAGACAGAATGGGATTGGGGTTAAAAGCATGTGAGTGTGACACGGACAGAAGCAGACAGATCTGCCCATCCTTAATTACAGGATCACATGGAGAAAAATGAGCAGCATTTGTATGCTTGAACTTGCCTTGTGACCGGAGGAGTGTGTTTTATCAAAGGATGCAGCACTTCTCCTCTGTCTGTTGTTGTTTATGGTGGATGGAAGGTCTCGAGGCATTTACCCCAGCTTCATTGGTTGCTGAGACATATTTCAAGCTTTAGCCGATAGCAACGAAATGCTACTAAGCACCCAAATGTTTCAGCTCTCTTTCCCCTGGAGCTTGTCCTTCTGACTGTGGCTGCTATCATCTTTGCAAATGTGACACATTAAATGCCCAGATCCTTTAAACGATCAATTTCTACTAGACAGAAGAAATGAAGTGCAAATAACACATAAGGCTGGAGCCCTAGCCAAGTGTGACACATGCTAACCATTTCAGTAAGCCCTTTGATATAGTGTCTCATTGAATCTTACTCTCCATATTCTCTGAAGTGGCAATGATAGAATCCCTCCTATTGGACTGGAAGACAAAGAACTGGGGGCGGGAGGCAGGGGAAAGGATGATAATATTGAATTAAAGCTTCAGAGGGGTAGCTAGCAGGTATTTAGATACTTATTAAGAGCATACTCATTAGGCTATATTTCTTACAGTATAATTGCAGCTATCATGCCTTAGCATATGCTATATGTACCTCACATTGGGGCGGGGAGAATGCATCATTTATGGGGAGGAAAGTGGCATGTGACAAAATTATCATGTATTAATCCTCCTTTGGTGCAATTGTTATCAATTAATGCACAGAACTACATGTATACAATGATCACAGATCAATTCCTTTTGCTGCCTTACTTCTACCATTGTCTGTAGACAGGCAAGCATCCTCTAGAGGAGTCATCTTTCATCAAGAGAGCAGCCACATACCATAGACCAGATGAACATCTTTACTCTGGCCTTTGACACTTCAGGTGTATATTTTTATAACCCAGCTATTTCTGTGATTTTAAGTTGCTTTGCTTTATTTTTAATGTTATGCTTTAAATTGTTCTAACCAGCCCTGGATGGGTAGCAATTTGGGTGGGAGCTTTATGTATTTTATTTTAATGAACTGTATGTAATTCTGTGCAAATGTGTTTATAGTATAAGAAATTACTATTTATGGTTATGCTTTCGCTATGCTGTAGATCACTTACATACCTTTTGTGCAACAAGTGACTAACAAGCGTGATTATTCGTGTAGCTGAAGGGACGCCAGCCCCTAGGAGCTGACTTCTATGCATCCCCCCCCCCCAAGACTAACTGGGAAGTGGATTACAGTTCACAAAAAAGATTGCAAATCAGAGAAGACTTAAACAGCAGAAATCCAAGCAGATACATCGTGTCAGCAGCATTCATCTTTCCTGCTATGTTTGCTTGTTACAGCATCTCTAGACTGGGTCCTTGTTCTGTGTGTGTAAATGTATCCCATCCTTTGTATTTATGAATTAGGGTTAGTGTGCTAAGCAGAATGATTCCTTCACTCCATTCTCTATTCACATTTTTCTAGGGCTTTTCAGATCTTCAGCTTCCAGCTCCTTAACAAACTACAGTTCCCATGATGTGCTTAAGTCTGTAATTTTATCAGGGCAGGTTACTTCTTGTTCACTGTTGTAATAATTGTTTTCTCAGAATTTATCTTCTGTACCATGAAAACAAATAAAAACAGCAGATAGATAGATGATAGATGATAGATGATAGATGATAGATAGATAGATGATAGATAGATAGATAGATAGATAGATAGATAGATAGATAGATAGATAGATAGATAATAGATAGATAGATAGATAGATAGATAGATAGATAGATAGATGATATAGATAGATGATAGACAGATAGATGATAGATAGATGATAGAGATGATAGTAAGGTGTGGCTCTGCCACACGATTCTTTGAGTATTGCATGCAAATTCATGTTTTTTCTACCATGAAATAAAGAATATTTGCAACATATGCATACCCCCAAAGGCAATAATTTCTGATTAGTTTTCAGTCCCGGAAGCACTAAGTGCATGTAGAAAATAAGTAGTGTTAAAGGGAGAGGGAAGAACAAAGGATGCACAATCTGCAGACCACCTCTCTGCCAAAGCTATTGGGCAGGCATTACTCACTCGTAATAGCTGAGTTTCACAGCCTTGAGTGAAAATCTTTGGCCATGACATATCTATTTGATAAAACAGTATTATAACAGAGAGGTGCTGGGTGAGGAGGTGGGGGGGGGGAGTTCCTGGAATGGCAAAGAGAATTGAGTCGATATTATGGATTGCTGGGAGGGAGAAAAGGGTGGTGCACAGCTGGATATGATGGCATGGGGCAGGTGGAGTTCAGTTACATGCAGCTGTCCTGACCAAAGACACTACTCAGGTGATTTTGTGGGTACCAATGAAGGTAGAAAACAGATCATCTGTACACATTCAAACTTTAAACTGTTCTCTACAATAAATGCATGGCTTACTACTGCCACCAACTGAGCGATAAGATATTACTCACCCAGAATCATGCTGTTGATGTGCAGTATAATGAAATTAACTAACATTTCCAGTTCATTATAAGGCAATATTTTTTTCTATATAATACAGATTGATTTGATTAATAAATTAACTAAAGCTTTACCTTGCAACATCAGCTTTAAGGGCAGGAAACTAATTCCATCAACGTTTGCAAAAGCATCCCAGTTCATTAACGGCACAGTTTTCAACTTGGCACTCACCTGAATAATCTCTTCCATTTTAATTTGATTCTATTTCCCCTGACTTCATGCTGTCCAGTGATGCCTTGCTATTCTCATTCATTCCACTGCATAGACTTATTCTTTGCATTACACATTTTACAACACGTGTTGCCTCCTTCTTTTCTCCCACCCCACAAATGTGATCTTATTTTCCATAAATCATATACTCAGGAGCTTGTCAGCAAAACACTGTTTTGTTTTGAAAGTGCTATGTAATAGAATGAAGTATGCATGGGAGTGTCTGCCAACATAATGTGGCAGGAGTTTCATGACCCAAACAATGCCACTTTTTAAACAGGGTGTCATTCCTCCCACCCACCCCTCTGATTTTTTCCCCATTTTCTTTTTTCTTCCTCTCAGCTCTATCAGATGTCTGGCGATTTCTCCCACCTACCCATGATTCCTACCAAATTTGGAATCTGCTGGACTTCAGAAAAAGAGATGGCTGATAAGGGTGACCTAAGTTGATACACTGCAGTGTGGAGTGTTCTCACTGAGCAGCTTTGGGAGGTGTTTGCCCCTTGGCATTTTCTCCAAAATTGTCCTTTCCCGAACCTATGGATACCTCCCTCTTATGTGTGGGTGGTGGCATTTTGGCTACATACAGATCTACACTCAGAGAATGAATTCAACAAAACCATGTGCCTGACAGGTCAGAGCAAATTGCAGCATAGCTGTCAAGTGTCCCTTATTTAAAGGGACAGTCCCTTATTCCAGCGCCATGTCCCGCTGCTGTCCCTTATTGATGGATGTCCCTTAAATGTCCCTTAAATGATGTCCCTTAAATTTCAAAGGAAGCAGCTCCTCTCCCTCCCTCCCTGCTGGCCAGGGAGGAGGGAGGCTCCAACTGTGTTGCTTGGCTGTGTTGCTCACCCAATAAGAAGTCTAAGAACGACTGGGGGGTGGAGCTTGCATGCCTTGTGTGTGGCTAGTTAATGCAAGCTGAGGGGGGTTTTGAATGCTAGACGCCATTTTGTTGCATGTGCTGCTGCAGACTTTGCAGTGCAAAGCCAGGCCGGGGAGCCATCTTAAGTTGAGGCTGCATAGGCCTTGTGGTGCATGTGATTCAGATTCTATTCAGTTGAACCTCTGGTTACAAAGTTGGTTGGACAGTGTTCTCAAAGCTACCAGCATGAGTTTGACCAGACTGCAGGAGGACAGGAAGACTGGAGTGCCTGGAACAGGTGAGGCTGCAGGTCCCTTATTTTGGCTGCTGGTCCCTTATTTTCAAGGCTGCTGGTCCCTTATTTTCAAATCTGTAAATTGACAGCTATGAATTACAACCACAATAAGAAGCACAGAAATGGACTGCAGTGGCTTAGACCTGACACCCGCTCACCCCATGTTAGATGTTACTGCTCATAAACATTTTGTCATCAGCAAAATGTGCTACAGAGCACATAAGATCTGGAGAGCACATTTAGGAGAGAACTGAGAGCTGGAAAAAGCAGTCTTTTCTGGAGATATAAAAATTTTAAATATCAAAATGGTTCAAATTTAGATTGAATGGAGAGCAAGAGATTTG